GAGGTGGTACCTCAGAGTTGTTTTAACTTGAGTATCTCTAAGCAGTAGTGACTTAGAGCACTTTTTCATGTGACTTGATAACTTTAATTTCTTCTTCTGGAAACTGCTTGTTCATATCCTTTGACCATTTATCAATTGGGGGATGACTTACATTCTCATAAATTTGACTCAATGCTCTACATATTTGAGAAATGAGGCCTTTGTCAGAGAACTTTGCTGTAAATTTTTTCCCAGTTGCCTACTTTTCTTCTAATCTTTGCTGCATTGGTTTTGTTTGTGCTTTTTTGTGTGTGTTTTTTAATTTTATGCAATCAAAATTATCCATTTTATATCCTGTAATGCTCTCTATCTCTTGTTAGTCACAAGTTCTTCCTTTATCCATAAATCTGACAGATATACTATTCAACACTCCCATAATTTGTTTATGCTATTACCCTTTACATCTAAATCATGTACCCACTTTGACCTTATCTTGGTATATGGTGTTGTGAGAGGTTGGTCTATACCTAGTTTCTATCAAACTACTTTCCAGTTTTCCCAGCAATTTTTGTCAAATAGTGAGTTCTTGTCCTGACAACTTAAATCTTTGGGTTTGTCAAACACTAGGTTACTCTGGTCATTTGCTACTGTGCATTATGCACCTAATCTATCCCACTGTTCCACCATTCTATATCTTAGCCAGTACCAGATTGTTTCGATGATTACTGCTTTCTAATATGGTTTGAAATCTGGTACTGCTAAGCTACCTTATTTCACATTTTTTTCCTCCTTGATATTAACCTTTTATTCTTCCAGATGAATGTTGTTTTTATTTTTTCTAGCTCTATGAAATGATTTTTTGGCAATTTGATTGGTATGGCACTGAATAAGCAAATTAATTTAAGTAGAATTGTCATTTTTATTATACTGGTTTAGCCTACCCATGAACAATTAATATTTTTCCAATTATTTAGATCTGACTTTATTTGTATGAAAAGAGTTCTGTAATTGTGTTCACATGGTTTCTGCTTTGTCTTGGCAGGTAAATTCCCAAGTATTTTATATCGCTTGCAGTTATTTTAAATGGATTCTCTTTTTATCTTTTCTTGCTAGACTTTGTTAGTGATACATAGAAATACTGATGATTTACATGGGTTTGTTTTATGTCCTGCAACTTTGCTGAGCTGTGAATTATTGAATTAGGATTTTTACTACAAGAGCCTAAGGTTCCTCCTAGCTCTGAGCTCATGATCTGGTCCTAAACAGAGGAAGGAAACGGCAGAGGCCCACATGCCATCCTCTTGAAGGGAAAGGAGGGGGTTAATGGAGGCTGGGCTAGGGGAGAAGGAGGGGTTAATCCAGGGACTCTGAAGACCAAACCTTTCCTGCTGGGAGGGGAGTAGGGGATAGGCTACTTTCTGCCTCAGTTCATTCTGGCCTTCCAGTCTGCCTGCATCTGTCTGGTGTCCCCTTGTACCACTCCTAATCTCCTTCAGAGAGGTGAGTCTCATACCCTTCCCACCATCCCCTTGGGGCAGGAGGGCTACTGGACATTGACTGGAGGTTGGGGGAGGCAGAGCCGCTGCCTCGGCAGTGAGCATTCTGAGGTCCGGATACTGGCAAGAAACGGGGTAATGGGGAACCTGGGACCCTTAGATAACCCCCTGTTTTGATGCGTCTGCAGTTGGCTCTGAGTAGAGCAGAATGGACTAGCTGGGAGGAGAGGGAGTGGGCAGCTAAGTATTTTGGGTCCTATGATTAGGAAGAGCCAGTAGTTTAGGGCTTTTTATAGCTCAGTAGTTAAAGCCCAGAGACTCACTGGGGAGGGCTTGGAAGGGGAAGGGGGTAGCTACAGGTTTGCCCTCACCAAGTACCCTGGATTCCAGACCCACTAGCCCCTTTAGGGCCCCTTGAAGGTCAGTCTTGGGGTTAGATTTGCTGGGTTCTATGCTGGTGCTGAACTGTGTCCTGCAGTCCCCACCCCCACCATCACCCCGACCCCAGATCCCTCTGTGTTTGAAGCTCACCCTTTCTGATAGTGGGGGAGTTAGAGACAGCTGAACTGGGAGCGCTTAACTTCCTACCCCACTTCAGTTCATTGCCCTCCCAACCACTTGACTCTCTGTGCCCCCCCCCCCCTTACTAATCTGTGTTTCTTTGTCTCCTCGGTATTTGTGTGTGAGTCCTCTTCCCTTCCCTCCCCCCTTTCCCCTTCCCCGGTAGCTCTCCTCTTGGGGTCAGGGTCTGGGAGCTTTGAAGAGGGAAAGCTGGGGCAGCTGGACAGGGTGCTTTCGAAGGGGAGACACTCTGCCTGTATGTCCTGTTTGGGCCCTGTTTCTCTTCCTGTCTGGCTGGGTCACCATAGGCCAACGCGTCCCTTGCTGCTCTGTCCCTGTGTCCCACGAAGCTCTCCAAGTCTGATCTGTTCTCCCCAAAGCTGGTGGTAAAGGGGCAGGATGTGAGGATTTGAGCCATGTGGGTGGCCGGGTCCCCATCCTACTTGGGAGCCCTGGGGGCTGCTCCTGGACCTGTCAGGAATTGATTTACAGCCCCTCTGCCCAGCTGACCTCCCTCTGCAGAAACCCAATTGGGAGTGGGGTGGCTGGGAGGTCAGGTTAGGGGGTCACAGGGGCTCTATGATTCCCGGAGAGGCAGCATGCCCAGAAGGCGTAGCTTTGGGGTGGGGGGATGACCTAGGGGTTCCCAACTGATGTATAGGATCGCCAAGAGGCGAATGACACAATGCGCCCAGAAAGAGGATAGTTAGAGTTAGAGCAGTAGGGATGAATATTAGGGTGGGGGGCAAAGGGTGGATTTGGGGATTATAGGATTTAGAACTGGACAGGATGGTGAAGAGGAGGAAAACGAGGCTCAAACAGGAGAAAAGGACTTTCCAACAGGAAAGAGATATGAGATAGGATGTCTGAACAGGAAAACCATTGGCCCCTGGCTGGAGTGAGGAAGAATGAGGAGTCCGTCTGGAGGCAGAGGACTGTATGAGTTGACCCTAGCGAACTGTTCCCTTCCCCTCTTCAAATGTCCAGGAAGGGCCTGCGCAGGCCCTGGCCAGCTATGATTGCTAGAGGCTCCCGCCTTGTGGTTATATCCTGACCTCAGCTGGCTGGAGGCAGGAGGCAGGAGGGGCCCGGCTGGGAGGGTGACTGAGCTTGGGAGCCTGGAGTGTCCAGCTTTGTCTTGGCCCCTGGAGCTTTGGGGCTGGGAAGAGGTATTTTTTCCGGTTGAGGCCACTTTGGGGATTTGGGCTGGGTCACGCCTTGAAGAATGGGAGCCGTCTCTCTTTTTTGATTCTCACTGAGCCCAGCTCAGAAATGTGCCCTGATGACCTGAAAGGACCCTGCTCGGTGTGGGGTGTCTGGGGAGAGTTGGGGGTCTAGCTCCCTAGTCATCTGGCCCAGGCTCAATGCTGAAGCACCCTGGCCACTTCAGCCTGGCTCCGGCTCCCTGTCTTTAAAGGGGGCAGTACTAGCATGGTTGGAAGAACCACGGACAAACTTGGAAAAAAAACCAGGTTCTAACCTTGGCTCTGCCACTGACCAAGTCGGTGACCTTGGGCACAGAGTCACTTGGCTTCAGTTAAATGAGGCACTTGTACTAGGTGGCCTCTGAGGGCTTTTTTGACTCCCCATGATGCTCTCTTGAGGAGCCTAGAATTGTAGGTAGGTCTACCTGCCACTTGTTGATAGTATCTTTTCTCCTTCCCACAGGCCTTAACTAGGGCCACTGCTAGTCTCTGGTGGCCCATGGGGCATTGCTTCCCCCTGCCCTTCTGAGATGCATTCCACTTCACTGGCCACCCCATCCCCCACCCGGACTCCCAGTGCTGTTGAGAGGCTAGAGGCAGACAAGGCCAAGTATGTCAAGACCCAGCAGGTGATCGCCCGACGTCAGGAGCCAGCCCTTCGAGGCGGAGCAGGCCCCCTGACCCCTCACTCCTGCAATGAGCTGGAGTCCCCACCCTCACCGAGGCCTCTGGGGCCAGCCCGAAGAGGTAGCGGCAAGCGGCTTCTGAGGCCCGACTCCCTTATCATCTATCGGCAGAAGCGGGACTGCAAGGCAGTAAACAAGGAAAATGCCAAGGGGCAGAGCCTGGTGCGACGCCTCTTCCAGGGAGCCCCCCAGGATTCTCCTGGAATGCCCAGCCCAGTGGAGCGTGCAGCCTCAGTTCCCCGAGCAGGATGGGCCACAGCTGGGAAGAGTCCAGGAGCCCCTCAGCCCACATCTCCTGAGTCGGGCAAGCGAGCCCTCTGTCCCACATGCTCCCTGCCCCTGTCTGAGAAAGAACGTTTCTTCAATTACTGTGGGCTGGAGCGGGCACTGGTGGAGGTTCTGGGTGCTGAGAGGTTTTCACCTAAGACCTGGGAGACAGATGCCAGCCCTCCACTGGGCAGGCCCAGCTCTGAGGGTGGCAGCGAGTGGGATTCAAGTGGGGGTGATGGTGGCGGTGGAGACTCTGAGGTGGGCACATCTAGAGATGGGCAACCCCCTGTATCTGTGATAGAACGAAATGCCAGGGTCATCAAGTGGCTCTATGGGTGCCAGCGGGCTCAGGCACCCCCTCTGGAGTCAGAAGTGTGATTGTATGGGAAAGGAGGGGACGAATGGGCATAGGAGCTGGGCTCTTCCCTGCCCACTGGGAAGGCAAAGGCCCTGAGAGTTACAGAAGGGGGCATTGTCTGGGGAATAGTATTGATGCCCCAGGCTCTGATGCTCTGGCTGAGGGGGCAGGACCCAGGTTGGAGTAATTGGGGAGAGTGAGGGTAACTCCATGGCTCCTGTGGAGGCTTGGTGTGGGCAGTGGGGGGTTGGGATGGGGTATTAGGGCTGTGTCCGAGAGACATGCTGAATAAAGTAGACCTAATTTAAGTGTGGTTCTGTGTTGCGGGAGAGGGCACAGAGGATGTGGGGTGAGGAAGTGAGGAAGTAGCTGCTGAGAATCCCTAGATTCAATTCTGATAGACTCAGGAAAGGGTCTGGAGGAATAATGATAATAATAATGATGATAATAGATAACATTTGTATATTGAATGAAGGTTTCAAAGTGCTACACATACATTATCTTACTATGTAATGAGAGAGAGAGTGGCTGCCTTTCCAGCCTGGGGTGGGAGGTGGAGGGATAGGGGAAGGGGCTTGGGCCCACAGTGAAGGAGAAGAGGAGCTGGACATCTTTCCCATATCTTCTTCCTGACTGCCAAAGGAAGTTCTTCCTGAAATCTAACCTCAATCTCTCTTATTGCACTCTGGGCCCATCTGGGAAGTGGATGGGCCTTCCCTCTCCACCTGCCCTTGTGTTTGGGGAGGTTTAAGGCCAGGGAAGGAGAAACTATCTGCCTTGGGCCGGGTGACATGGGCATCCACACTCCCCCTGCCCCGGCATCTCGTAAATCCCCTTGTATTGCCTGAGAAACACCGGGTCAGCAGGATCTTTTGGTCCTTTATGGGGTGGGTGTGAATGGGACGGGGCACAGGTGTTGGGGGGCAGCTAATCTCCTTTGGGGACGGCTTTGCTGCGCATCTCAGCCAGTTTGTTGGTTAGGAAGCCCCACTTGAAGCCAGCGGCTGGGTCAGGCTCGGCGCCGTCATCGGCTCCATCCTCCCGCTCTGGCTCGGCAGCCCCTTCACCCCGGAGCATGGCCTCCGCCGCCACCTCGGCCTCCTGCGGCGGCTGCTGGTGATGCTGCTGCTGCTGCCATCTGCTGGCGAAGGCATCCCAGAAGCCTGGCCCCTTGGGGGCATCCTCCGTGGGGGGCGGTGCTGCCAGGGGACTGCACGGGAGAGAAGGGTTGTGTGGGTGAGGACAGAAAGGGCAGATGGAAATGTGCCAAGAAGGGAAGGAGAAAAGAGAAATAAAGGATGATCAATTAGGAGCTGGAAGGGACTTTATTTTGCAGATGGAGAAACTGAGGCCCAGGGATGTTAAATGACTTGCCCAGGTCCACATAGCTAGTAAATGTCTTGAGGCAGGATCTGAATCCAGATCTTCCTGACTCCAAGTCCAATGTCTCATTCTTTTATGTAGGGTTGAACTAGGCATTCACTGAGATCCCTTCCGACTCAAAGCCTGTGATGTTGTGATGGGTGTGAGTATGAGACAGGAGAGAGATGAGCAGTGTCAAGGGAAAGGGGACTTTGAGGAGAGAGGAGGGGGAGAAGAGTGTGTGAGGGGGGTGGTGGGTGTAGTGCCACATGCATGGGGGGCCATGGAGATATATGTATTGGTGATGGGGAGAAGAGCACATGGTAGGGGTTAGAGAAGAGTATTTGTTGTGTGAAGACATAGGGCGGGATCTGAAGAGGGAGACAGGACTATCTCTGAGGGGAGAGATGGAGATTGGGTTTGGGGGAAAGCTGAGATGAGGGTGGTTGTGGAGGCAGAGAAGGAAAGGGGTGTGTGTGTGTGTGTGTGTGTGTGTGTGTGGCTAAGAGGGCCTGTTTGTGAGATTGAGGTGGGTCTGTGTCCAAGGATAGGCAGACGTTGACAGGGCATGCAGTGGAATGAAGTGGAAAGGGTGGGCAGAAGGCTGGAAAGTCAAGGGCTCATGCAGATGAGAGGGGCAGGGTTTGGAGTCGAGAGACCCTTGGGAACAGGGAGAAGGAAGGAAGGTCACTAAAAGACCATCTTATCTGTCCCTTGTCCCTGGGGCTTGGTGGTACTTTTCCAGGTGACTGAGGAAAGAGGCTGCCCAGCCAGGCTTTGGCAGGCCAACCCTCAGCAAGGTTAAATAGTGAAGTGACCTTCTCAGGAGCAGTCATCAACTTGCCCCTTGGAGGGAGGATAACAAACCCGCCCCCAGACTCAGGCCACAGACATGAACATAAGCACAGAGACACATGGTAGATCAGACCCAAACCCAGATTCAGACCGAATGCAATTGAAAGGACAGTGAGAGAAGAAACTGAGGTGCAGGTCCCAAAGGCACCCTCCCTTCTTCTCCCCACCCCCAGCCTGAGGGCAGGAGGAGCCATGTATCCTGGACATCCACCCACTTCCCAATCCCCTCCTACTGGTCAGCACAGGGTTCTGAAGGCAGCAACTTGTCCTCATCTTCTTTGTTGAACAAGGATGACATTGTCCTCCAGCCTTTCACCCCAGCACCTTGGACCTGGGGGAGGAAGAGCGGAGTTAATGATAGAGGTACCAGTCACAGATGACCTCCCCACCCCAAATCAGGGAACCTCTTCCCTTCCCTTCCCTTCTTCCCCCTGGATGGACTCTGTTCCCTGAGCTGGGTGGCCTTACCCTTCGGGCCAACTGGGACATGGGATTGCTGGTCTCCTCTGTCAGCTGCACCTCCTCCTGCTCGGCTAGCACTGGACTCTCTGTCTGTGACACAAACCCCAAGCCCAGCTGTGAGAGGGGGACATCCCCACATGCATCCCTATCTCCACTTCTCCCTCAAATACAAGCTTGTCTTCTCCTCACACCCAATCCTGCCTCCAAAACCACATTTCTTCCTCACAACCCTCCATGTCCAGCCCCCTGCATCCCCATCTGTCCCCTCATGTCCACATTTGTCTCCCCCTGCCACACAAGATCACATCTTCCCTTCTCATGCTCTCAGCTCATGTCTCCCCTCATATACAATACAATCTCTCTCTTCACATAGCCCATCCCCCTCTACCCATCCGTTTGTCTCCCTCTCATACACACCCCACCCCACCACATTATACACATGAGTACAGATACATTTCTCTCAGAGCCTTCCTCAGACTATCCCTGATTTATGATATACAGGGTGTCCCAAATGTCTTAGTGCAACGTTGAGCTTTAATAAGCTTAAGACTTTTGCAACAGACACCCTGTACATATCTTGTTTGTACAGAGTTATCTGCATGTTGTCTCCTCCGTTAGACTGAGAACTCCTTGAGGGCAAGGACTGTCTTTTGCCTTTCTTCCCTTCCCCAGCCCCTAGCATAGTGCCTGACACACGTTTTATTGTGTGTCTGACTCTTCCTGACCCCATTTGGCATTTTTTTTTTGCAAAGATGCTGAAGTGGATTGCCATTTCCTTCTCTGGTTCATTTTACAGATGATGAAACTGAGGCAAGCAGGGTGAAGTGACTTGCCTAGGATCACAGAGCTAGTGTCTGAGGCCGGATTTGAACTCATGAGTCTTCCTGACTCCAAGCCCAGCTCTCCATGCACTATGGCGCCACCTAGCTGCCTGACACATAGTAGATGCTTAATAAATGCTTGTTGGCTAACCGACTGACTGTCTGTCTATACATACGCAGCCACCCACACCTATAAACAGACATACAGCCTGTGCGTATCAGAGCACCAGGGTTCAGTGGAAAAAGCTCTGCCACTAACTTGCTGTGTGACCTTGGACAAGTCACTTCTCCTTTACAGGCCTTAGCTTTGTCACCTGCAAATGAGGGATTGAACTAGACATTCTCCAAATTCCTTTCCAGTTCTTATGGTCTATGTGTCTTTAGGCCTCATGAAAGTGGGGGAAAGGCCTAAGAGACATTGAATTGAATGGTGTCATTTTATAGGCTTACCTGAGGTCACACCACTAGTATCAGAGAGCATACTAGAACCCAAGTCTTCTGATTTCCAATTCAGGGCTCCCTCCATGGCACCTGACTGCATGTGCACAGGCAAGCTTCCCCTCTGCCCACACAGGACCTGCCCAGCCTGGGCCCTAGACAAACCCAGACAGCTTCCCCAAGAAGATGGCTGTTCCTCCCCCACTGCAGTGTAGCATCCCGTTTTTCCCCAGGATCTCTATGTTCTCCAGGCAATGTCAAGCAGTTGGGTGGACCCCTCCCCCAGAAGCACTCTTGACAAGGCAAGATTTATGGGAGGCCACGGACAAAAGCCACAGGGGAGGAGCAGGCATAGATGGGCTGTTGGAGGGGGTGCCTGCATCGGTGAGATAATATGCCCATGGGAGGACTGGAGCATTCCATCTCTGATGTCAGGACAAAGAGTCTGCATCAGAGCCTGATCAGAGGCTCTACGCCTGGCCCCTATCTGGCACCCATCACTAGTCCCCTGGGAAGACACCTGTCTTCCTGGGGCCCGAGGTCTCTCCCTCCCTGCCTGCCTGTTCCCTCCCCCTTTCTCAGTCTTTCCATCTTTGCCTTTCTCCCTGTTTCCTGCTTTCCCATCCCTATTCTTGTCTTGTTCCTGTTTCCTCTCCCTAGTTCCCTTCTCTTCCTTTTCCAATTCCTTTTGTTATAGAATGTCAGAGTTGAAATGGGACTTAGAACATGGAATGTTAGAGCTGGGAAGAAACCTTAGAACACAGGATGTCAGAGCAGGGAGGGCCCTTAAACACAATGTCAGCTAGGACAGAACGCAGGATGTGGCTAGGGCCCTTAGGACACAGGATGTCAGAGCTGGGAGGGCCCAGAACACAGGATGTCAGGGCTGGGAGGGCCCCTAGAACACAGAATTCAGAGCTGGGAGGGCCCCTGGAACAGAGGATGTCAAAGCTGGAATGGACTGGAGAACAATGTGAGAGAGCGCAGAGATTCTCTAGCCCAGGAATTCTCAGACTTTCTGATCTCAGGACCCCTTTTGTCATCTTAAAAATTATTGTTGGCCCCCCCAAAGAATTTTTGTTTATGTGGATTATATCGATATTTACCAAATGGGAAATGAAAACATCTTTGTATTATTGCAAAAATAACCGACTTTGTGGATCTCCTAACGGGGTCTCAGAGGCTCCCAAGACTCTGGGCCACGCTTTAAGAACTTCTAGTCCAGTAGAATGGTTCTCCTTATTTTTGACATAGCTGGTACATAGTAGGCACTTACTAAATGCTATTATTATTCACTCTGACTGAGCCAGAGACAGCCTAACTCGCTTAAGCTTACACAGCAAGTGAGTAGCCAAGCCAGGAATCCAGCCTCGGTTCCTGAAGTGCCAGCACATTGCCCTTTCCACAGCACCAGCAGCTTCTTTTCCCTCACTTTCCTTCCCACCCCTTCCCCATCACCTTTGCCCCCTGCCCAGACTGTGTTCCCTGTTAGGCACCCAGGTCACGCACCTCTTCTGAGAGCTCTTCCCCAGACTCTCCGCCCAGGGTCTGCAGCACCTTTGACTTGTAGGTCTTCCAAAAGGCCTGGTTCATGGCTGTAGGGGCACCGTCCAGGGCACAGGGCAGGTGATGGCTCAGTGGGTACCAGCGCCCATCTCATAAGCCACTTGGCTGGGCCTGGCTCTTGCCCTCTGGGATCAGGTGACCTCATTAAAGATAAACCAGCTTTCCCTGCCTGGCCCAGTGCCCTGAGGGCGGGAATCTGATCTGGAGGAATCTGGGGTGGGGGTAGGGACCCCCACCTTCCTTCTGCTCATCCATGGAAGCTGCAGGGCCCAAGATGATTTGAGGCTCTTCCTCATCCCCCTGGGATGAGACAGGGAAGGTTCAGGAGAAATTCTCCCCAAATCCTTCCCATCTCATTCATCCCCAGACTGAGAACAGGCACTCCCCAGGACAAACACAACTCCCCTTTAAAAAATTCAACCTGACGGTCAGGGACACACTCTTTGCTTTCTCTGTGGGGTCCTGTCTATTACCCCTGCTTAACCTTAAGGATCAGGCTGATATTTGGTGATGGGGGTCCCAGGCAGGGCCCTCAGCCCCCAGAGCCACCAATGCCCTGGTCTCATATTTCAGAGCATTTTATGGACCCGTAACTGATTCCACCTTCCTGGAGGGGGGGGGATGCACAGCCCCGTGACCTTGTCTCCTGGCAACCAGCTCCAAATAGCCCAAGTCCCTGAATTATTGCTGAGTCCCTGACTGCTGCTCATTCCAGCTTTGGTTTCTCCCAGTCTAGAAGGAACCAGGCCCTGGGGACATAGGACTGGAGCTAGAGGGAGGCTCCTTCCCCCTGCCCCCCACCCAACCTCTTCTCCTTAACCCTTGCCTGCCAGGCTGGGACTGATGCACCAGGCAGGCCTCAGCCCTTGAAAACAGTCACCCCCCGGAGCTCCAGGGAGGGATTCTCCCATGAGAATTCTCCTCCCCCTTGGCCTGATTGAGATCAAGGTCACCCTCCCCCATATCCCATTGGCCATGAGCATTTCAGGGGTGTCATCCCTCTGTTCCATTAGCCTACAACTCCTACACAAACATAAGATAGAAGTCAGACAACATGGGTTCATGGGAAAACCCCCCAAGGATCTTCATGGACTTCAAGCTTACCATTGCCTGGACCATTTCCCATTCAATCCAATAAACTGAATAAAGCACCTGAGACTGTATGAGCTAGGCTGGGGCCTCAGAATTAGGAGGGAAAAAAAACCATCCAGGCCTTTCCTTTGAGGATGTTACAGTCTGAAAGCCTAACCTGGCAGGGGGTGGAAATAGCAACTAATTGCAATTTCTAGCTGTAGTTTAGGGCAGAGAGGGTGACAATCCTGCTGTCCTCCGCCCTAGTTAGATCACATCTTGAGTAACTTAAGCTATTTGAGAGACCTTGGCTTAGTTTGTGTCTTCCCAGCACTTAGCAGTGTGTGTGAGTGTGTGAGCGTGTGTGTGTGTGTGTGTGTGTGTGTGTGTGTGTGTGAGACAGCATCAGAGAATCTGAGATTCCTAAGGGACCTCAGTGACCAGCCATCTAGTCCAACCCAGGCCTGGAAGGAGTTCTCCAAACAACATAACTCCGAGGAAAAGGAACCCACCCCCTCTCCATATGCCTCTGTATTTAGGGACAAATTCAATACAATTCATGTGCTACATTGTACTGAGCAACAGAGTGAGGGATTGGGTTTTGGTCTGGGTTGAGAGTTGCCTCCACAGAGGCATATCATAACCCACAGGCGATTCTGAGAAGGAAGCTCTGAGTGTCAGGGCAACTTGCCCAAGGTCATGCAGCTAGAAAGTACATGAAGCAAGATGGAAACCTAGGGCTTTCCTAGTGCTTAGCACACAGGGTTTAATAGGCATTTTTCATTCATTCCTTCATTCGTTCATTTCTGACTTAACAAGTCCAGTACCCTACACAGAATATCATAATGTTTCTCTGTGTGTCTCACTTCTGCATAGCAGGCCTTTGATAAATGTTAGTTGGATTGAACTGCATTGGGCCCATTTCTAGAGCAGATTTCAGGCAGAACGTAGACCAGCTGGAACAGGTGCAGACAGGAGGGGCACAGGACAACAAAACACTCCCAGCGGCCAGTCCATCCCTATCTCCATACCCTCCCCTCATCACCGGTACTTACTCACTTAGTAAGGACTTGGAATCTGAGCAGGCAGTAGTGGTTAAAGCGCTAGCCTTGGAGATTCAAGTCCCAACTCGATGTATTCTGGCTGTGTGAACCTGCCCAAGGCACAACCTCTCAACGCCCCAGGACAGTACATTGTAGAGTATTTGCTGACCTGCATTTTGGAGGGAGTTTGCTTGTCAGGACTTCTACACAGTAATAGCTAGCATCGTATATGGAGCTTCAAAGCACTTTACAAACATTATCCCATTTGGCCCACTCAACAACAGTAGGTGCTCTTGGGGGGCGGAGCCAAGATGGCGGAGTGAAAGCAGTGACTTGCTTGAGCTCTCCCCCAAACTCCTCCAAATACTCACAAAAAATGGCTCTAAACAAATTCTGAAGCAGCAGAACCCACAAAAAGACAGAGTGAAACAAATTTCCAGCCCAAGACAACCTGGATGATTGATCAGAAAGGTGTATCACGCCGGGCTGGGAGCGCAGCTTAGCGCTGCGCGGCGTGGGTGCGCAAACCACAGTAAACCTGGAGCAGGCCTCAGAGGACTGAATCAGGCAGCTGTGGAGGTTTCCAGACTCCTCAATCCACGATTGCCAAAGACAACTTAGAAGGTCAGTGGAAAAGTCTGTTTCTGTGGTGGTCAGAGAGGAAGGCGGGGTTCAGCTCCATTCCCCAAGAGCTGGCCCTGGGGGGCAGCTGCTTCCCGAGCTTGGCCCACAGACTGAGGGGGAATCCAGTGGCTGATCAGAGAGGGATTGCAGGGATCTCTTTGCCAGTGCTGAGGCAGGAATCTATTGCTTTGCCCATGTTTGGATCCGGGTCACAGTTCTGGGCTGCGGTGCTGGGGTGAGGAGGAGTGCTGGTGCGGTGGAGCTTGTAGTGGCTGGAGAGAGGAGCCCCTCCTCACAGTTACAGGACAGAAAGGAGTACTTGTGGTCACAGGCCAGGAAAGGAGTAAACACCTCGCCCCTTATCATACCACCTTGGAAGAACTGAAAATTTACAGGTCCCTACAAGTATCTCTGAAAACAGCTACACAAACCCCTGAAGCTTGGGACAGTACACTCTCCACATTGGAAGCAGACTCTTACCTTAACAAAGAGTTTAAAACTCAAGTAATTGGCTGGGATCATGAGCAAGCAGTGCAAAAAGAGTCAGACTATATTATCTTACTTTGGTGAAAAAGAAGATCAAAATATACAACCAGAAGAAGACAACAAAGTCAAAGCTCCTACATCCAAAGCCTCCAAGAAAAATATGAATCAGTCCCAGGCCTTGGAAGAGCTCAAAAGGGATTTTGAGAAGCAAGTAAGGGAAGTAGAGGAAAAACTGGGAAGAGAAATGAGAGTGATGCAAGAAAATCATGAAAAACAAGTCAACAGCTTGCTAAAGGAGACCCAAAAAAATACTGAAGAAAATAACACCTTAAAAAATAGCCTAACCCAAATGGCAAAAGAGGTCCAAAAAGCCAATGAGGAGAAAAATGCCCTAAAAAGAAAAATTGGCCAAATGGAAAAGGAAGTCCAAAAGATTACTGAAGAAAATACTTCCTTAAAAATTAGAATAGAGCAATTGGAAGATAGTGACTTTATGAGAAATCAAGACACTGTAAAACAAATCCAAAAGAATGAAAAATTAGAAAACAATGTGAAATATCTCATTGGAAAAACAACTGACCTGGAAAATAGATCCAGGAGAGAGAATTTAAAAATTATTGGACTATCTGAAAGCCATGATCAAAAAAAGAGCCTAGACATCATCTTTCAAGAAATTATCAAGGAAAACTGCCCTGATATATTAGAACCAGAGGGCAAAATAGAAATTGAAAGAATCCACAGATCTCCTCCTGAAAGAGATCCCCAAAGGAAAACTCCTAGGAATATTGTAGCCAAATTCCAGAGTTCCCAGGTCAAGGAGAAAATATTACAAGCTGCCAGAAGGAAACAATTCAAGTACTGTGGAAACACAATCAGGATAACACAAGATTTAGCAGCTTCTACATTAAAGGACCGCAGGGCATGGAATATAATATTCTGGAGGGCAAAGGAGATAGGATTACAACCAAGAATCACCTACCCAGCAAAACTGAGTATAATCCTTCAGGGGAAAAAATGGTCATTCAGTGAAATAGAGGACTTTCAAGCATTCCTGATGAAAAGACCAGAGCTGAATAGAAAATTTGACTTTCAAATACAGGACTCCAGTGGAACATGAAGAGGTAAACAGGAAAGAGAAATCATAAGAGACTTATTAAGATTGAACTGTTTACATTCCTGCATGGAAAGATGATATTTATAACTCATGAGACCTTTGTCAGTATTAGGGTAGTTGAAGGAAAAAAATTATATGTATGTATGTATGTATAGATAGATAGATAGAGGGCACAGGGTGAGTTGAAGATTAAGGGGTCATATCTGGAGAATAAAATTAAGGGATGAGAGAGGATGATACTTGGAGAAGAAGAAAGGGAGATGTAGAATGGGGTAAATTATCTCACAAAAAAGAAAACAGAAAAGAAAAGTCTCTTACAGTGGAGGGGAAACAGGAAGGTGAGAGGAATCTTATTCTCATAGGATTTGGCTTAAGGGGAATAACATACACATTCAATTGGGTATGGAAATCTGTCTTACCCTACAGGAAAATAGGGGGAGAAGGGACAAGAGAGCAGGGGATGATAGAGAGGAGGGCAGATTGGGAAAGGGTAATCAGAAGCAAATACTTCTGAGGAGGGACAGGGTCAAAAGAAAGAATAGAATAAATGGGAGGGCAGGATAGGATTAAGGGAAATAGAGTTAGTTTTTCACAACATGTCTACTAAGGAAGTGTTTTGCATAACTGCACATGTATAACCTAAAAAAAAAAAAAGAAATGAAGCTCAAAAAAAGGTAGGTGCTCTTATCCCCATTTCACAGATGAGGAAACTGAGGCAGAGGTTAAATATCATGCCCAGGGTCACACAGTAACCGTCTGAGATCAGATTTGAACTCAGGTTTTCCTAACACAGTCCAGGCCCTGTCCAATGGGCCACCTAGCTAATGAAACCACCAGTCTGGTCTTTGCTGCCTCTTCATCATACCTGTTTTTACATTTTCCTGTTGTTTCCTCGGAACGCACTATGCTCTTCAAACTCTGCCTGCTTCAAGTCGGTCCTTCATTCAGCCACTAGAGTGATTTTCCTAAAGAACAGGTCTGACCGTGTCACCCCTCTACTCAATAAACTCCAGTGGGTCCCAATGGCCTCCAGAATCAAATACAAATGCTCTCTTTTGGCATTCAGAGGCCTACATGACCCAGCCCAGGGGTGGGGAAGCTGCAGCAGCCCCAAGGCCACATGTGGCTAACTTGGCCTTTTGACTTGAGTCCAAGTTTTACTGAACAAATCCTTTTTTGGGGGGGAAGGGGGAGGCAATTGGGCTTAAGTGACTTGCCCAGGGTCACACAGCTAGTGAGTGTTATGTGTCTGAGGCTGGATTCAAACTCAGGTCCTCTGGACTCCAGGGCTGGTGTTCTATCCACTGCGCCACCCAGTTGCCCCCAGAACAAATACTTTCATTAAGGGTATTTGTTCTGTGAAGTCTGGATTCAGTCAAAGGTCCCACTTGAGGACCTAGAGGGCCACATGTGGCCTTGAGGCTGAAGCTTCCCCCCCAGCCCCTCCTATCTTCCCAGCCTTCTTAAGCTTTCCTGCCCACCTTGTACCCCTCCATCCACTGGCGTTGGCTTCCTGGCTGTTCACAAACTCCACCTTCCATCTCTCAACTCTAGGCATTCTCTCCTGCTGTCCCTCATGCCTGGAATGCTCTCTCTCCACTCCCACTACAGACCTCCCTGGTTTCCTTCCCTAAAATCCCCCTTCTACAAGAAGCAGCCCCCAACCTCTCTTAATTCCAGTGCCTTCCTTCTGTTAATTACCACCTCTTGGGGCAGCTAGGTGGCACATCGGGACTCTGAAGGACCTGCCTTCAAATTCGACCTCAGACACATAACACTTACTAGCTGTGTGACCCTGGGCAAGTCATTTAACCCCATTGCCACCAAAACATACAAAAAATATCTCTTGTTTATCCTGTATATAGTTGCTTTGTAAATATGTTTCTATGTAGCCTCCCCCATTAGAGAAGTGGACTATCCTTTTCCTCTTTTCGTATCCCCTGGGATTAGCACCCTGCATAGTGTTACTTAACAAACCAAACAATTGATTGGCAGTAGGAGGTGCTTAATAAATGTTGACTGACTGACGGCAGGGACCATTTCTTTTTTTGTCCTAGGTATTTCCAGAACGAAACACAATGCCTGGCACACAGTAGCTGTTGTTCAGTCATGTCAGACTCTTCCTGACCCAATTTGGGGTTTTCTTGGCATAGATGCTAGAGAGGTTTGCCATTTCCTTCTCCAGCTCATTTTACAGATGAGGAAACTGAGGCAAACAGGGTGAAGTGACTTGCCCAGGGTCACACAGTCAGGAAGTGTCTGGGGCCGAATTTGAAGTCAGGAAGATGAGTCTTCTTGATTCTAGACCCGGCACTCTACCCACTGTAACGCCTAGCTGCCCATTCACATAGTAGGTGCTTCATAAATGTTGATTGATTGAAGGCAAAGGGCCTGTTTCTTTTTTTAACTTTGTATCTACAGCGCTAAGCACAGTGCCTGGCACGTAGTGGGACTTGTAAATGCTGACTGATTGATCGGTCGAGGGCAGGGACCGTCCGGTATTTTGTCTGTATCCTCCAAGCCAAGCCCAGAGCCCGAAGCTCCCTAAATGCATGCTAGACAGATCGGGTGACGTGAGGCTTGTTTGGAGGAGCAGGAAGAGAACAGAGAAAACACTTTGGCGGTGGGAGGGGTGGTCCACGAGAAATGGCTGCACGTGGTGGAAAGAAGGCTCAGCTTCGTTCCGCTGGGCCCCAGGGGGCAGAACGAGGCGCAGCGGGTGCGTGCCGGGTGCGGAGACGGACTTCACTCCCTTCAGCTGCAGAACACCCTCTGACCGGGTAGCGTAGTGCGGTCAGTCTGGTTGGGGACGGCGAACTAGACCCCGCCCCGCTGCGGCGCCCCCGCCTGTCCGCCAGGGAGAGTTCGGGCCGAGCGTCCCAGGAGGCCCGTCCCGTGACGTCACGACACGGCCCGGAAGCCGAGCTCACGTGGGCCCCGGCGGCCCCTAGCCCCGAGCCTCAGCCGCCAACTGAGGCCATGGCCCGCTCCCGGCGCACCGGCGCGCACCGCGCACACTCCCTGGCCCGCCAGCTGAAGGCCAAGCGGCGGAGGCCGGACCTGGACGAGATTCACCGGGACCTGCGGCCCGACAGCGCCGCCCGCTGTCCCCAGCCCGACGCCGAGCCGGACCCCGACCTGCCGGGAGGCGGCCACCACCGCTGTCTGGCCTGCGCGTGAGTTCCGGGAGGGGCGGGTCTTCCGGGGGCCGGGCTGGGGAGTGGAGCGGGGGGGGGGGTCTGGGCAGCGGGGACCTAGGAGCAGAGGCTCATGAGGGTCTGGAAAGTGGGGACCTAGGAGTCAGGCCTGTTGGGGGGTGGGGCAGAGGAATGGGGGGACCCAGGGAGTGCAGGCTGGGGGGGTCTGGGCAGCGGGGACCTAGGAGCAGAGGCCTATGGGGGGGCAGGGGACTTGGAGACTTAATTGACTGGACGCTTTGGGAGGGTTTGGAAGTGGGGATCTAGGGGTTGAAGGCTTGGGGGATGGGGAATTGGGGACCTGGGGACTAAAAGCATTGTGGGGTTTGGTGCAGATAGTAATTAAGGACCTGGAGGCTGGAAATAGAGCTGGGTAACTGGGAACTTGTGGAGATTGGAGACCTGGAAATAGAGGCTTTGGGAATTGGGGTTTGGGGGATGGAGGCTGGGAAGGGGATGGACTGAGTCCTAAGTCAGGAAGAGGAAGAAGCTAGGAGGTGAAAGATCAAGTTTTGAGGCCAGTGATTTGTCCGGATGCCTCATTTCCTACCTCTTCTTCTTCTCTGGGGGGTAGAGGGGAGGAAAAGGATCCTCTACTCACATCTTACCTCTACTCCCTCCAGGAGATACTTCATTGATACTACTAGCCTGAAAAGTCATTTGAAGTCCAAAGATCACAAAAAAAGGTGGGAGGCTGGGGATGGCTCCCTCGAGCTGCTAAGGCCCCGTCTTACTCCCTTTCTCCCTTAACCCCTTCACCTTTTCTCCTCTTTACCCTCCACCACAGCATTTCTTCTTTCTCTGTAGCCTCTAACCCCTTCCCTTAGATCTCCTCTCTGATCTCCCCTTTCCCCATTTCTTCCCAGTCTTGCCTTGACCCTTTTTTAATCCTGACCCCTTTTTTTCCCCTATAGGCTGAAGCAACTGACAGTAGAACCCTACAGTCAGGAAGAAGCAGAGCGGGCGGCAGGCATGGGCTCTTATGTGCCCCCCAGGTGGTTGGCAGTGCCCACAGATGTGTGTACTGAGACATCTGATATGGAGGTGGCCAGCTGATGCTGCCCAAAGGCACAGGAAGCCACTATTGGATAGCCGTGCTAACCTGGGCTGGCTGGACTGTCTCTCTACCCCAACATTCAGAGCAGAATCTTCTTACTCTTTCCCAATAAAAGAGCTGAGCTGCTATGTCTCCATCATGTTTCTGATTTCCCTTGCATGCCAGGGGCTGATGCTTGTTTCCCATCCACATTCCCCAGGAGCTCCTATATCCCTAGTGCTCAAGACTTTTCTGCTTGCCCATGGGCTAGCCACATGCTGAACCTTCGGGAAGGGAATGAGAACCCTTCCCTCCCCGTTACTTTGCTTTGGACGCATGTCACCGGATGGAGCCCCAGTCATGGCATGTCTTCTGTGTCTGCACCTTGCAGTTTTCCAGCTTTATTCCATCCAGGGCTCCCACTTCTCCAGCCTAGGTAGGCATGGATATGCTCCCTGTACCCCATCCTCTTCCCTTTGGCCTCCTAGCCTGCTGGGGCCACCATCTGATGGGGTGGGGCAGAAGGGGATGGTAGAGACAGGAAGAGTTCTTCCTCTGGATATTGGGTGAGATAGATGCTGCCCCCCAGACTTCCAGGGGCTTCCTGTCCTGTCATGGGGTCTTCGGGGACTTCCCTTGACCTACCAGCTGCCGGACACTGTAGAAGGAGAGACCTAGGCCGAACACAGCCAGCAGTGTGGCCAGGGTGCCCACCAGTTTGTTCCGGGGTTCTGCCTCCAGCTCCCCAGCCACTTGCATCTGGGTAATGGGGTAGAAAGGGAGCATGGTTGGGAAGGGAGAGACAGGTGTTCCCTCTGGCCTTATGGATCCAGACCAGGGAGGTTGGGAGGGGAGGGGTGGGAGATGTCAGTAACCCCACCCCTGCTTCCTCAGGCTCAGGAAAGCCTCCCTCCCAGGGACATTCCATCCTGATGCTCTCTCGCATCAGTGCTTCAGGGCTGACATGCGGGGCCCAGCTGCTCAGGCGGCATGCAACGTGCCTGGCTGGCTCCTGCTATGGCGGGTTGGGGGTAGAGGAGAAGGGAACCTAGTATGTTATGGGATGGGGGGGGGGAGTTACCTCTAGCATCCGAAAATAGCCGGGGGTCAGTCGTCCAAAGCGCATGATTGGCCTAGGGCTGGGGGTGGGGGTGGGGTGGCTTTGTCTTCTTGGTGGCGGTCTGGTGAGGGCAGGAGGGGAATGAAAACCATGCCACTAAATAGAAATTGGGTCAGGGGGAGGGGGCAGGAATGCTTAGGGCTACATTCTTGCTCTGTCCCCACCACTCGTTCACACGGCACCCACCCACCAACATGCGCACACACATAATCTTCCCTGCTTCCTTCTTGTTCCTGGGTGCTCAGTTCTATCTTCCAGTCCCCAAACCCTCCTCTGTACCCCTAACTCCCATGCCAGAAAAGCTTTCTTCCCCCTTCCCCCCCATCCAAAGGTGCCTGGAGAGGATGCTCACCTTCGGCTGCCCGCCCACGACTCACAGACAGCTGGGATAGCAGTGGGTCCTTTAAATCAGGTCCCCTCCCCTTACTGGGCCGACCCGGGCGGCAGCTGTCAAGAGATATCAGCATCAGGCTGGAATCAGGCCTTTGTGCCCACCCCACTTCCTGCCATGGAGGCAGGCACCTGGATACAAGGAGGAAGGAGGCCTCTCACCAGCAGGGTACGCTTCATCCAGGGTAGGGGTGAGAGAGGTCCCTGATCCTGCCTGGACTGGTGTCCTGGATCTTATTTGGGTAGAGGGAGCTGGCAGTGGTGCAGGAAGGAAACAGGAAGGAAGCACAGGATTTGGAGACAGGGCCCAGGTTCAAATCCCACCTTTGACACTATCTGTATGTGATACAGATAGTGCCCTCTCTGTATAGCCCTCTCTGCTACCTAGCCTGTATTTCTTTGTCCCCTCTACTCCTTGAGAAAGCCATGTCTAATCAGTGCTTTCACTTCCTCTCCTCCCATGCTAAACCTGCAACTGAACCTGTTTGCTCCAAATTAACCAGTAATCTTGCCACATTGAATGGCCTTTTCTCACTCCTTTGTCCATCTTCACCTCTCTGCTGCTGCCTTTGATACTGGTGATCGCCTCCTTCTAGACGCTATTTCCTTTAGGTTTTCATGACACTGCTCTTTCCTGGTTCTATATGTCCAACAGCTACTCAGTCTCCTTTGCTGGTTCCTCATTCCCATCATGCCCTCTAACCATAGCTGTCCCCGAAGGTTCTGTCCGGAGTCCTCTTTAGCTCCATGCTCTCACTTGGTGATTTCCTTAGTTCCCATGGGTTACTGTCTTTAGCGAGCTGTTTTCCAGATTTGTACACAGCTCTTGTCTTTCTGATGAGCTAGTTACCAATGCCCTCTTGAGTATTGTACACTGGATGTCCCATGAGCAGCTCAAACTCAACATGTCCAAAATTGTGCATTGTCTTTCCCCATAAACCTTCCCCCATTCTAAATTCCCCTTTCGATTTGTGGGTACCACCATTCTCCCAGTCAGAAGTCAGTGTTATTCCCTAGTCCTCACCAATCAATCACCACCTATATCCCTTGAATACATGCCCTCCTCTCCACTCATATGGCCACACCCATAGTCTGGTCCAGGCCCTCAGCACCTCTCTCTGGGCTCCTGCAACATACTTCAAACTGGCTCCCACTCCAATCCATTTTCTCCTTGTTGCCCAACATTTTTCTACAGCAAAGTCTGACCATGTTAGAACCCTACCCTACCAATGAACTCCAATGGCTCCCTGTTACTTCCAGAATCAAATATAAAGCCCCATAACACAGTCCATTCCTACCTTCTCAGATTTCTTACACCTTAATCTTTCCCCTCTCCCTCCACTACAAACCAGGGGCCTAGTAGCAACTCTTGAACACTATGCCACCTCCCACCCCTTGGCCTTTGCATTGGCTGTGCCCCCCTTCCCCATACCTGGTATCTTCTGCCCCCTCACCTCTACCTCTTGGTTTCTCTGGCTTCCATCAAGCCTTGGCCCATATCTCACCTCTCAGAGCCCTTTTCGTGGTTCTCCTAGCTGCTATGCTATACCGTTTCAGATTGTGTTCCATATGTATATTGTCTCCTTCATCAGAATGCAAGCTACTTAAAAGCTAGCACTGTGAGGATAGTTTATTTTTTTTTATTTTTCGTCTTTCTTTATAACTCCAGCATTTAGCATAGTTCTGGCACACAGTAAATGCTTGTTGTCTGACCTTTGGATTTGTTTAATTCAACCTCATTTTACAGAAGAGGAAATAAGCCTGGGGAAGGGGAATTCCTTGCCCACAGCAATTCAGGTCCCCTGACTCCAAACCATGGTCTTCCTTCTATCATAGCCCCTCTCCCTTAATTAATATTGAATTGAATTCCTAACTAGGTTGGTAACTGCGGAGCAGCAGTAGCTTTGGAGAGCAGAGGAAATTCTCTTTTCGGTCCAGAATGAGGTTACAGTCCCATTTCTATTGTGCTTTTAGGGTTAGAAAGCTACTTCAAACACTCATCCTGTGCTTTGGCAGCTACAGAAAACATACCCATTCTGTGAAGGAGGAAACTGGGGCCCCCAGAGGCAGCATCTTTTGCCAGGGGCCTGAGGTAGGCCTAGATAAGGCCCATGTCTTCTGACTGCTGTCCTGACACTCTCCTTCCTTCACCTGGATTGAGCAACAATCTAAATGCCCATTGTTTTTGGTCCATTCGATGGGAATGTATCTTTACACACCACCCATATCCCTTAGTTTGGGGGGGAGGGGAGAATAGCAAGAGCTTTTGAAAGAGTTGGCCTTTTTAAGGCTCAGCTCAAGTGCCCACTCTTTGAAAAACACAATTTTTAGTCCTCTCATATTTTGTATGTGAAATTCAGATACCTGGAAGGGTTCTCAGAAGCCATCTAGGCCCAGCCCCCACCCTTGGGTGTAGATGAGGCCCAGAGAGTACTCACAGAACATCATGATTTGAACCCAGGAGCTCAGGGCTCATCCCACTGTACCAATAGCTGGTATTTACTTCTCTGGGGCCCATCTTGGTTGTACATCACCCTACCCAAGGAATCTTAGCCTTTGTGTGAGTCATGGAGCTCTTTGGCATCCTGGAGAACCAGAATGTGTTTAAAAGCATAAACTATACTCCCCAGGATTACACAGGAAACCAGTTATTCTGAAATGCACTTAACATTTTTTTTTAATTTCACAGAATCCCAGGTTAAGAATGCAAGCCCTACTACAAGGGGCTTTTCATTTTTGTCACGGTTTCTGCGGTTTGGGGACCATTTTTGTTTCCAGCAGACCTGTGAGGGGAGCTACCTATAAGTGAGGAACTTATGCAGAAGCCTCATTTTCTTCCTGAGTGGCTGTGACTTCACAGTGTCACACAGCCTGTGGGTGTCAGAAGTGACACTCGAATACAGGTCTTCCTGATTCCAAAGTCAGCTCTCCAGTCACCACCTCCTCTGGCCTGCCACATAGCAGGCATTCAGGAGATGTTTGTGGCTTGATTAATTGAGCTCCTGACCCCGTCTGACTTCAGGGGGCTGGGGCTGGCTGGTTTGGGGGAGGGAGAGGCTGGGATCTCTCTCCCAGCCTTGTGGCACTCACACACCCTCTGGGCCCTGGTTCCGGATTTGGTCTGGTCAAGTCTCAGCGTGGTGTGCCGTCTTCAGGAGTTGTGTGGGCGCCTCATGGGCAGCCCCAGGTAGTGGTCAGCGCCTGCCTGCTACAACCCCCCCCCCCCCCCCCCCCCCCCCCGCTACTTAACTGGCTCTAAGCCCCAGGGCCAAACCCTTTTTCTTAGTGTGAGATCACGTGATGGTAGTAAAGGGTGAAGGAGTTTTCCTTGTGGGTCAGTGACCCCTACTCTGCGCCCTACCCACACTCTGCCCAGGAGCAGCAGCCCACGAAGGGAAGCGGGACACGTGTGGAGCCGGTGCGGTCCGGTCCGGAGTCCAAAGGCTCAGCCAGCCCAGGACGAACCCGAGCGCCCCTAGAGTCTCACCCCAGTCGCGTCCGCGCCCCCCCCCCCGAGGCTAGAGTTAGGAGTGGGGTGGGGCTGAGGAGAGGACGGGCTCTCCGGGCTGACTGGCAAAGCGGCCGGGCCAATAGCTGTACCAGGATGCTCACCTGGCCCGGGCCACGTGGGTGCAGGTATGTGGCAGGCTCCGCCCCCGGCCCAGCCCCGCCCGCCCCGAGCCCGAGAGATGACTCTGGGTTTCAGAGACGGAAATTTTCCGGGAGGGACGGTCCGGGATTCACCATGGAGCCAGTGGCATCCTGGGGTCCTGGGTCGGTGGTGGCCTGGCTGAGAGGTAGGGGCAAAATGCCCCGGGCTGGGAGGTGGGTCTATCTGCATCGGCCGGGGTCTTGGGAGGGGGGGGAAGGGAGAATAGGAAAGTGGGGGGTAGGGGGTGGCTCTTGGTCTACACTGGCCCGAGCAGGGAAGGGTTATTTACACTGACCCGGGAGGAGGGTGCCTTGTCTACACTGCCCTCCCAAATGTCCCAAAGGTGGGAAGTCTTGAAGTTGTGAGTTCTGGGACCCTGAGCTCCAACCCTCCTTGGGAAGAAGGGGTCCCTCCGGGGAATGAGTGATGAAAGCAGAAGAGCATCCTCATCCCTGTTTGGAGGCCGGGAACGGACGCAGTGACTTCTTGGGGTCCTTCCACTTTCTGAACTGCAGGCCCATCCCACTCCACACCCCTTGCCTTCTTAAAGACCTAGCAAAATATTCTTCTAAAATAATTCATTTCTAGATCGATATCAGGTTTGCGATTCCTTCCCTCACGACCACCCTGTGAGATAGGCAATTTAGGTATTTTTGTGCCCTTTTGAGGAAACTGAGGCTCTGAGAGCAAGGCCCCCTCCTATGGGAGGCCTTTCCTGATCCCCCACAACTGTTAATAGCCCTGCCTGAAATGTTTTCTGTACATATTTATTTACATGTGTTCTTGTGGTCCATTCCAGGGGAATGTAAACTCCCAGTAGGCAGAAACATTTAGCAATTCATAGGTGCTTAATCGGTGCTGTTGACATTTTGATTGGTTAAGTGACACCCCCAGGGCCATGTGGCAGGTTAAAGCTTCCCAGAATTCAAATAGTCCTACACTCTCCTTACTGCCCACCCTCCCAGGGTTTACAGCCTCAGGGACTGAAGGCTTGGGGAAGGAAGCTAAGCTATAATCATAGCCTATATAATATATAGATATGACCATATCTCCTTCATCTTCAGAAGGCTGCTGGGATCTGGAGGAAGTTATCATTAGACCCATTTCTCAGTTGGAGAGAATGAGAAGGGAGGAAGTGAGTAGCTCAGAGCCTGTGGGAGCAGGCAATTTGCCCGCATCATTTTTGACACCACTCACTTTGGGCCAGACCTGGACTCTGAAAGATCCGAGTTCAAACCTGGACTTGGATACTAGCTGTGTACCCCCTAGCAAGTCTGCCTCAGTTTCCTCAACTATACAATGGCAATAAATAATAGCAGCTACCTCCCAGGGCGTGAGGACAAAAATGAGATAATATTTGGAAAGTGCTTTGAAGACTTTGATGCACTATAAAAATGCTACTAGCTATTACTGGCTGCTATTATTAGGGTTAGAGGAAAAGTTTCTAGAGCGGGATAACCTTTTTTTTGTCATAGACCCCTCATCAGCATGGTGAAGCCAGGTTGTACCCCTTCTCAGAATCATGGTTTTAAATGCATAGGATTACAAAGGAAACAAATTATAGCAAAATAGAATTATCAAAATATTTTAAAAAATGAACAAGTTCATGGACCGCAGATTAAGAATCCCTGGGACTGGTCTGTAGAGGAGATCCTGCTCCTCAGGGAGCCTCCAGTCTGAAAGGATAAAGGTACACTCAGGACTAAGACCAACAAATATAACTCCCAGTTGTAGAAAGTTCGAGAAACCAGTGCTGGGAAGAGGGGGGAGGAGGTAGAGAACAGAAACCAGGTAGGATTAATCAAGAGAGGCTTCCTGGAGGAGGAGAACCAGGAACAGGTTTTGGGAAGGGCCAGAGAAACAGCATTTATGCAGGCTTAGTGGTCACAGGCTCATAAATTTGGAACCAGAAAGGAAATTACAGATTGCCTAGGCCAACCCTGTCATTTTATAGAGGAGCAAACCATAGAGGGAAGAACTGACTTGCCTACTGTGACATGGGGACTCAAGCCATTGCTCTTTCCATTTGTGTGTGGTCTCAACCAGCAACAGTGCTGGCACCATTTTGGAAAGGCTGAATGGGGATGGAGGGGAAGGGAGCCCTCAGGAGACAAATGGAGGAGGTGGAGAAACAGATGGCTATAGGTACTCAACTGAGAAGATGAATCTAAGAGAAACAGAATTGTATTTTATTTTATTTTTAGTGCTAGAAAAAAAATTTAGAAACTATGGGAAGAATACTACCTCAACCAATGATGGCATCAAGTTATCTTAAAGGCATCAAGCTGGGGATTCAGTGGATAAAGGGTTAAGGCTGGAGTCAGGAAAATGAGTTCAAATCCAGCCTCAGACACATTAGTAGCTGAGTGACCCAGGCCAGGTCATTTTGCCTCAGTTTCCTCAGCTGTAAAATGAGGATAGCACCTGCCTTGTAGGGTTGCCTGGCATGGGGCAGTTGCTGTATAAATGCTTCTTCCTTCCATTTACTATCTGTGAAGTTAGTCACAACCTCCCGAGCCTCAGTTTCGCCATCTGCAAAATGAGAAGGTTGGCCTGGATGACCCATCGGTTCATATGAACTTTCTCATCCAGAGATGATTAACTTGGGGTCTGTGAATTTGTATGTATGTGTGTTTTTAGATATTTTGATAGCTAGATTTCACTACAATTGGTTTCCTTTATATGCCTATGTATTTTATGTGTTGAGAAGGGGTTCATAGGCTTCATCATTTTGCCCAAGGAGTTCATGACACCTCTCTCCTAAAAAAAAGGGTTAAAAATCCCTAATCTTATCCAACCTTTGCATTTATGGAGAAGGAAATTGAGACCCAGAGAGGAGAAGCAAGTTATATAAGATCACTCAGCGAGTTAAGAGAAAATCTGGAGCTCATAGTTCAGGGAAAGCCATTTACAATAGATTTCAGAGTTTGTGTGTGTACGTGTGTATGTGTGTTCATGTGTGTGAGCAGGGAGGTTCAGCTTGCTGTGTGGCGAACTCAGGAGCACTGGTCTTCCAGCCCCATTAAGGGGGAGATGTAGAGAATAGTCCCATGTTATCTTTCCCATGAGGCTCTGCAGTAAAACAGCCTGGGGACTAAAAGGGGAAGCTGGTAACTGAAGTGCAAAGCCCTTTCCAGAAGGGTTTTTTTTTTTTGCCTCAGATTCTTTAAGGGGAGAGTGAGGCTCAGCTTTGTGAGGTAGCTGTTATCATTCCCTCCCAAGGCTCTGGGATTCCTAGATTTCGCCAGCAGTTGTGGCCTAAGCTACAACCTAGAAGAAAATCATTTCTTCCAGGGTTGTGCTAGTAAATGTTTAAAGAACTGGCTGTCCAAAAAAAGCAAGTGCTTGGGATGTGCCTTAAAATTTAACATTTTAATAATAATAATAATAATAATATATTTATATTACATAACATTTGAACAATATTGTATTTTATATATTTTTATTATATAACATTTGAACAATATATTTTAATAATATTAACATTTTCTCTATTGTCTAGGAGATAAAAATAATAAAATAGAATAATTGAATAATACATAATAAAGTTTAACATAAACAATAATAAAAAAAATCAAACCCTGATTTGTAGCTTTTGCTGAAGTCTAAGTGCTTACACTGAAAATTTAACAATCAGCTTCATCCTTTGTACCTCTCTAGAAGGGGAGGTCAGAGACAGCTAACGGACTGACATCTTGGTAAACTGTTGACTGCTATGAGCTTTGTATCTTAGTATTCCTTTCAAGTGACCCATTAATAAGAATGTACAAAGCCCCTACTGTGTGCTAGACACTGTGCTAAGTGATGGGGACCCAAAGATAACAATGGAATACTCCCTGCCCCTCAGTGGGGAAACAATATGACCACAAATGTGTTTGGTCATTTTCAGTTGCGTCCAACTCTTTTTGACCCCATTTGGGGTTTTCTTGGCAAAGATACTGGAGTGGTTTGCCGTTTTCTTCTCCAGCTGATTTTACAGATGAGAAAACTGAGGCAAATGGGGTTAAGTGACTTGCCCAGGGTTACACAGCTAGTAAGTGTCTGAGGTTGGATTTGAACTCAGGCAAATGAGTCTTCTTGACTCCAGGCTCAATGCTCTATCCACCATGCCACTTAGCTTCCATAACAGTAGTAATAATAATGATAACCACAAGTAGGTATTTAGGAAATATTTACAAGGAAAATGTGGGGGGAGGGCGAGGGAGGAATAAAGAGGAAGCTGTTGTGATGGAGGTGGGGCAGCAATCAGAAAATATCTCATGCTGGAAGGAGCATTTCAGGTTGGCTTTGAAGGAAACAAGGAATTCCAAGAGGTCATGGTATGGAGAGAGAGAGAGAGAGAGAGAGAGAGAGAGAGAGAGAAGAGAGAGAGAGAGAGAGAGAGAGAGAGAGCATTCCAGACAGGAGATGGAGGAGCTTCAAGCAAGCAGTGAAGGATGGTCTGGATGCATGATAGGATGAATAGGAGAGCTCTTAGAACACAGAATATCAGAGCTGGGAGGGCCCTTAGAACCCAGGATGTCAGAGCTGGGAGGGCCCTTAGAGCTTATCTAGTGCAACTTTTTCATTTTGCAGATGGGAAAACACGTCCAGAGCAAATCAATAACTTGCCCAAGTCTTAAATCCAAGACTCCTTTCTCCTACATCAGATCTTTCTCCTTATTCCAGGGTGCTTCCTGGTCAAATTTTCTCTCGTCTCAAGTGGAGGAAGGGAAGGATTTTAAAATAATAATGACTATTAGCATTTACATAATGCTTTAAGATTTGCAAAGCACCATGTATGTTATCTCGTTTGATCATCACAACAATAATAATAATTAATAATAATAACAGCTAACATTTATTTAGCACCTACTGTGTGCCAGGCTAAGCGATTGACAATTATTATCTCATTTGATCCTCATAACAAACTTAGGAGATAGTGCTATTATCACCCCTTTTTAACAAATGAGGAAACAGGCTGAGAAGCTAAGTGACTTGCCTAGTGTCAACCAGCTAGTAAGTGTCTGCCTTAGGATCTGAACTCTGGCATTCCTGACTCCCAAACCTAACGCTGTCCACTGCCCATCTGGATGCCTTTTTGCCCGTACACCATGAAAGCTCGGGTTACCCAGGGACTCTTAAGGGCTGATGAAAGAGACTGAGGGCCCTTCCCTGTGCATTTGGAAGCATAGTTAGAGAGTGAGTGTGGGGCTCAGATGTGAGAGCTAGCAATGGTAGAGGTAGAGCTAGAGAGGTAGCAAGAAGAGGAAGTGGGGGGAGGTCCTGTTACCTCATGCCCTTCTGGATCTCCACTCCTCTAGGCCTGGATGACCTGGTACAAGAGTACCCCTTTGAGGAGTGGGCCCTGGTGGGGAGTGATCTGCTTCAGCTCTGTCCTCGGAGCCTGGAGGCCCTGGGGGTCTATCACATTGGCCATCAGGAGCTCATCCTAGATGGAGTGGAACAGCTCCGGACTCTGGTGAGTAGGCACCGGGGCCATGGAGCCCACATCTCCTGGAGGGCCCTTCACCAGGATTATAGAGGCCAGAGGATATGTGGCAGAACTGAGCCTAGAAGCCAGGTCTTCTGATGGGCCGGGGTCCTGGAGCCTTGTCCTTTCCACAGCCTTGTTTGCTGGGGCTGAGGCACAGGTTCAACACACCTAGAGGTAGAAGGGACCTTGGAAGTCGCCAAGTTCAATCCTGTCATTTTACAGATGAGGAAACGGAGGCCCAGAGGTTAAGGGCTGTGCCCAAAGTTTGTTGTTTTTCAGTCTCACCTGGCTCTTTGTGACCCCATAGACCGTAGCACGCCAATACCGTCCATGGCGTTTTCTTGGCAGAGATACTGGAGCAGTTTGCCATTTCCATCTCCCGTGGATTAAGGCAAACAGAGGTTAAGTGACTTGCCCAAAGTCACACAGCTAGTAAGTGTCTGAGGCCGAATTTGAACTCAGGTCTTCCTGACCTCCTGTCCCAGCCCTCTATCCACTGAGCCATCTAGCTTCCCAAAGTTACACAGACCAAGGCCTCTCCGTCCTAATCCATTTTTCCCAATGGGAGGGCCTGGTATGGGGGAACGTGGGAGTGACCCCTTGTGTTCCTCTCACTGGCCACAGAGCTCTGGGCTAGAGACTGAAAATCTCCGGAAGCTAACAGAGCAGCTGCAGACCCTAACCCACAAGTTGTGCAGTCTTGTCCCAGGCTGCCTTGGGGCCAGTGGGGAACCCGCCCCAGAACTACTCACTGGAGCTATCGAGCTGGTCCGAGCAGCTTGGGCCCTTCTCTGCTGGCTCAACAGGTAATATGGCTGGTCAATTATTCTTAATATTCTCAGTAATAACCCCTCCCGTTTGCTTAACACTGTGACAGTTTGCAAAGAGCCTTCTTACCAGTTCCACATTTTGTGCGATCCTCAGAAAGGTTAGATGAAATAGAGATCATCAGCCCCATTTTGCAGCTGAGAAAACTGAGGCTTCTGGAAGTTATCCAGTGAATTGGTAGCAGAACCAAGACATGAAACGTCAGCCTCTTGATTTCTAGTCCTTTTTTTCTTTCCGTTCTATCCCCCCTGCCTCTAGCAGCTGGGCACAGGGCGTAGAGTCACTCCTGGGGAGAGAAGGAAGACAAGAGATTCAGGCTGAGACTAAGTGTGACTTGGGCAGACCTTGGACCTCCCTGCTGCCTAACTGGGGAGACATGATGCCTAGAATTTCAGCCTCTGCCAAGGAGGGACATGAGGTCCTTTGCCTCAGGAACACTCTGACTCCCAGCCCTGGGGCTCAGCTGTCTTCTCATTCCCTGGCTCCCAGGTACCTTTTTTCTCAAATCAATGACTTCTCCGCCTGCCAGGAGATTGGGGATTTGTGCAGAGAGCTGGCCCAGGTCCTGCAGAAGGTGAGTGACCCTCCACCCCTACCCTGAGCCTGAGGCTAGAGGTGGTGCTGAACTCAGCCCAGGGGGTGGGGCAGGAGGAATTGGATCCTAGCAATGCTTTTTATAACCTGTGAATCAGACAGGGATCAGGTGGGGGCCAGAAAGCCCAGGGAGGGGTGACTGGCCACTTGAGGGAAACCGCAGGCTTCAGGTACTGAAGGGGAACAGACGTGTCATTCCAGGATTTGAGGAGAGATCTGGAGTTGGGGTGAGAATGGAGTCCCCTGGGCTTTACCACCCTCCCCCATCAAGCCCTCCCTCCAGGGACCCAGATATGCCACCTCCTGCTTTCCTGACCTTGACTTTCATGTATCTGGGCCAGGCGGTGGATTGGGGGAGGGGGAGGAGGGAGCTGTGAGTGTGGCCCGAATAGCCCCTTTTGGGAGGTGGGAGAGGGATTTGACATTTGGATGTGGTATTTGGCAGATCACAGAGGCAGGTCCAAGAATAGCTGGAATGAGCTGAGGGCAGGGAGAAGAGTGCGGGGTCCTAGGACCCTGCTTAAGAAGGCTGCCCAGTGTGGGAAGCCTGGCTCTGAGGATCCAGTTTGGGTTTGGGAATAGGGAAGTTGAATGTGGCCCTGGAAGGAAGAGAGTGTGTGTGTGTGCATGTGTGTGTATGTGTGTGTGTGTGTGTGTGTGTGTGTGTGTGTGTGTGTGTGTGTGTGTGTCTGTGTGTGTGTCTGTGTAAGAAAGAGAGAGAATGCTGTCTGTCTGTCTCTCTGAGAACCGGCCAGTGTGGGCCACTGAGAATGGGGGTACTGTGCCTTCAGAGACACCTGTCTATCTAGGGAGGAGTATGGGTTCCCTGCAGAGAACAGGGAAGAATCTTGTCTGCAGGCATGATGTAGGGACCCCAGGTCAAGGTAAGAAGAAAGAGGCCGGACTGGAATTAGAGAAGAGAAGACTGATCCTTGGTGTCCACCTGGTTTTAAGAGGGGCAGTGGTATCATCTGTGGCCACCCTTCCCAGGAGGGATGGGGAAGAAATTTCTCATCCAAAGGAGGGTCAGGTCCTTCTGTTCAGTTTGGAAGTCCACTCGGGCCTCCTGTCTCTTCTTTTAGGACTGCCCAGTGGCACAAAAGGAGGCCCAGATCCTGAGGCTTGTGAGTATTGTTGGGGTGGGAGGGAAGAGGTAGTGCAGGGAGAAGAGGGGAGGGCTGCAGGGGTTTGACCGGACACACCTTCATCTCTCTCCTTTTCCCTCTCTCCACATCTCCCTTACGCCTCGCCAGGGTGACAACATTCTGAGCATCTGTGACGCCATTCTGAGTGTCAGCCCTGCCGACTTGCTGGACCAGCTAGCTCTCTTGGAGCTGGTGGAGCTGAGAGCCAGGCATCCGGGGGAGCCCTTGGTGAGCCTGTCCTGGACCCTTCTACAAGCCTTGGCCGTGGCTAAGAAAGAGAGGCAGCCCAGGGTGGTGGGGACAGGCCCAGGAGCTGGCTCTGACGCTGCCTTTGGGACCTGAGGGAAGGTCTGTTTATTCCTCTGTAAAATGGGGGTAATCATGCTTATACTGCCTACCTCACAGGATTGTCAGGGGAGTCACATGACAAAACAGAGGAAAAGCTGTATTTAAATACAAACTATGAGATGCTGCATTCTGCAGTTAGAGAACCCTGCAAAGAGAAGTGTCAGAACTAGGAGGGCCTTTAAAACACAGGATGTCAGGGCAGCTAGGGGGTGCAGTGGATAGAGCACCAGCCCTGAAGTCAGGAAGACCTGAGTTCAAATCCGGCCTCAGACCAAACACTTGACATTTGCTAGCTGTGTGACCCTGGGCAAGTCACTTAACCCCAATTGCCTAAAAAAAAAGAATGAAAACACAGGATGTCAGGACTGAGAGGGCCCTTAGAACACAGGATGTCAGGGCTAGAAGGGAGCTTAGAACACAGCATGTCAGAGTCCTGAGTGGGGAGTCAGAGAACCTGAAGTCTAGTCCTAGCTCTTTCACTAACTAGCTGTGTAACCTTGGGGAAATCATTAAGCTGATCTAGGGTTCAGTTTTGTTCTCTTAAAAAATGAGGCTGGTTTGGATGAGGGAGCAACTAAATATTTGATCCTTAAGGCCCTTCCCAGCTCTGACATCCTCTGTTCTAAGGCCCTCCCAGATCTGACATTCTGTGTTCTAAAGCCCCTCTCAGTTCTGACATTCTATGTTCTAAGGGCCCTCCCAGCTCTGATGTCCTGGGTTCTAAGGGCCCTCCCTCACAGCTCCTTGGAAGTGTATTCTTGCCTTACCCTGCATTCCTAGTGTTGTAGCACAGTGCTTGACTCATACAGGGTAAGCCCTTATGACTGAAGGCACCTTGATCCTTCCCACTTCCCCATCCTCACCAAGCTTGGTGTATGTGTCTGGGTGTGTCTGTGTATCCAGGGCCTGGAAATCCTAACCACCAACAGCTGCCACCACTTTGTGTCTGGAACAGCCCCAGAGGTAAGAGGCCTCCTCATCCTGTCTGCTCCCTGCTTTGCCCCATCCTTCCACCTCGAGGGAGGAATGCAGGGCTCTAATCCCTGTCTGCAAGTTCCTCCTGTTCTCCAGAGCACTTCAACTGCTCGGGCTGATCGAGGCTCCAAGGTGGGGGGAGGGCTCCATCACCGCCCCCCCTCCCAGCCCCTTCCTCTCTCCCTTTGGCCTCCAGTCTCCTGCTGACAGCTGTTCCCAGATCTTGCTTGGAGACGAGATCGTGCAGGTCAACGGGCAAGTGGTGGTGAGTCCCCCGGAAGGGAAGGAATGATGGCATCTCTAGACAGTTGCCCTGTTGTTGGCATGGAAGAGAAGGGGGCCTTCTGAGGGTGGGACCCAGGTCTGGAAATGGGGATCCCACTCCTTTGGGGGAAGCTTCTTCCATCAATCCCCGTCCTTTTGGTGTCCTTGGCAGGAGCATACCTAGGGGATGGACACATGGTACAAGCCTACATTGTAGGGGAGCCCAGGTGCCAGACATGGCTGAGGAGAATTGGGGAATAGAGTTAATGAGTTGAGTGGGGTTAGCTAGGGAAGACTTCTGGAGGAGGGCACAGTATGGTACTCAGACTGAGGCAGGGAGAATATAGGATGGGGAGCAGGTTTGTCTAGCCGGAGCAGAGCCTCTCACCTATATATCAGGGGAATGAGGTGGGAATGGGGGTGGGGGGGTGATTCACGGGCAGCATCTGCCCCCATTCTGGCTCAGACCTAAGCCTCTGCCCTCCCTGCCTTGGTCCTTGAGGTGGGCTGGCCCCGGGCTAGCTTAAACAGGCAGCTGCTCCAGGACCCGGCCGTCCTCAGACTGGTGCTGAAGACTGTTCCTGTGCCCAAGACTGACCCTCAGGTGGGTTCCTTTCCCCCTTCCCCATCCCTGCTCTCCATCCTCTTGCCCTTCACTCACAATTTCCCTCTACTTATTCCTCAGAGCCCCTTGGACATTTCCTGCTCGAGGAGCCAATCACCAGACTTGACCTCCCCATCTCCTAGGTAACGGACTCTACCAGCAGAGTATGTCATGGGTCGGGGATGGCACATGGGGAGGCATGACCACTGGGGCCCTGTATTCTCTGTTCCCCACAGAGCCTCAGAAGAAAAAGCAACTGCCTTCGTTTTTGACCAGAGCTCAGACCCAAGATCCCTCAGGTCCCCTGAGGCAGGTAGGAAGGCGGAAGCAGTGTGAGGGGACTGGGAATTCTAGACTTCGTTTCTAATCCTGGGATTAGAATTCTAGAATTAGAATTCTAGACTTGCGTTCTAATATAGAATTATAGAATTAGAATTCTAAACTCGAGTTCTAATCCTGTCTCTGCTATGACCAGCTGTATAAACAAGGACAAGTTCCTTCCCTTCTCTAGGCCTCAGTAGAAAAATGACGGTCCAGTTTCTTCCTCTGGGGTTTGGGCTAGATGACCTGACATTCTGTGTTCTAACATTTTGTGTTCTAAGGGCCCTCCCAGCTCTGAAATTCTGTGTTCTAAGGTACCTCCCATTAGAACATTCTATGTTCTAAGTTTTCTCCTAGCTCTGACATTCCATATTCTAAGGCTCTTTCTAGTTCTTCCGATTTCAACATTTTTTGATTCTATCACTAATGCTTTAGTATGTCCCCCTGTGCCACACATCTCCAATCCCAGCACATACCACAGATTGATAGGATGCCCCAGCCAGCCCCATCATACAAGAAGAGCAGTGTTATCAGCATGGATGTCTGAACTTTTGGGTTCCGCCATTCATTCTCCAAACCACAGACCCTTCCCGGGCATCCCTCCATGCCTGGTTCTCTGTGGGCCCAGAACATAGCATATTTTGAGAAGGCTACCATCTTCCTAGGCCCAACCACACCTTTAGCCTGTGGCAATATCTGGGGCCCTGACGGGGCACCCAGCTCCCCCAGAGTAGCAGATCCCCACCCAACAGCCCAGCCAGGCATAGAGGAAACTGAGAATCACGGATTCCCGGAGCCCCTGGACAAGGTAAGCTGGGAGCTGAGGTGCAGGAACCCCCAAGTCTGGCCTTGCCCTTTCCCCCCGCACTAGCCAAGTATCCAGGATGGAGCCAGGGCTAGAGACGGGGCTGGACAGCAGCTGGGTGAAGGAATTGGGCCTGTTCAGCCTGGGAGTACATAGAGAAGATGGCAGCTTTCCCCAGCTATCCGCAGGGCAAGCATGCAGACAAAGGCTTATTCTGCTTGGCCTCAGAAGGCAGTCAGGGGAGCTGCCAGGGGAAAAGATTTGTGTGCAGTAGAAGAAAAACATGTTGAAGATGAGAGGTCTCCAGATAGGGGATGGGTTTCTCCAGAGGTCAAGGTCCCCCATCACTAAAGGCCCTCAGTCAGAGACAGAATGATCATTTGTAAGAAGGAATTTCTGTTTGGGCGTGGGTTGGTCTAGATAACCTCCAAGGTCCCTTCCATCTCTTAATATTCTTTAATCCTTGTGCCCTCAGAGTCCTTCCTGCACTCGGAAGAAGTTGAAATCCAAAGGTACATGAGCCTGCTAGACACTAGGGATTGGGTGGGGGATGCCAGGGATCTCCTTCCTTTAAATGGTGGACATAGGCAGTATAAAGATGGCGGGGGGGGGGCGGTGTTGCTGTGTGTTCTTGGGTAAGTCCTCTCTCTTCAGTAAAAATGAGGGAGGTTGAACTAGATGATTTCTAAGGACAGCTAGATGGCACTGTAGTGCATAGAGCACCAGGCCTGGAGTCAGGAAGACCTTAGTTCAAATCTGCTCTCACACACTTTATAACTGTGTGACCCTGGGCAAGTCACTTAACCCTGTTTGCCTCAGTTTCCTCATCAGTAAAGTGAGCTGGAGGAGGAAATGGTGAACTACTACAGTATCTTTGCCAGAAAACCTCAAATGGGGTCACGAAGAGTTGGACACGACTAAACGACCATGAAATGTCCCTTTCAGTTCTAATGCTCTACAAATTCCATGATCCTAATCCCAGGCTCCTCTCCCCCTTTGTGCCCCTGTGAAAGTGGGATTTGGGACGGAATGGAGGGAAGGGCACAGTAGAAAAGAAGATGGTTTTCCTAACCTTGGCCACACAGGGGTGGCGACCCGGCTGAGCCGGAGGCGGGTGTCATGCCGGGAGCTGGGCCGGCCTGACTGTGATGGGTGGCTCCTGCTTCGGAAGGTGCCTGGAGGTTTCATGGGCCCTCGCTGGCGCCGCTATTGGATGGTACTGAAGGGTCACACCCTCTACTGGTACCGCCAGCCCCAGGTGAGCTCTGTGCAGCTACCGCCAGAGATGCCAGGCCTCGCTGCATCCTAGCATCTGCTACCGTTCAGCCCCAGCCAATGGGTTGGCCTTCTCTGCCTCTTCTGGTCTTTGGTGTTCTCTGTCTGTCCTCCTGCTTGTCTCTGCTCATCCCTCTGCCTGTCTGCCCATCTCTTTTCTCTGCTTCTGTCTCTTCCTTGGGCCCCAGGGCCACCGTTCCCGGCCATCTCCCTCCCTTCCCACCCCAAACCTGGGGATGCCTAAGGGGATATTTCTACCTTAGTGGAGCTTAATGTGCTGGAGAATCCTGAGCTGTTGTGAGAGTTTTCCCAAATCTGTTTCCCCCAGGATGAGAAGGCTGAAGGGCTGATCAATGTCTCCAACTATAGCCTGGAGAGTGGTCAAGACCAGAAGAAGAAATAGTGAGAGGGACATGTGGGAGGCTTGGGTCACACTTGGAGAGGAGATGGAGAGATTGGATCAGATTTGGGGTAGGGGGAGGAGATTGGGGGGAATAGGGTCAGACAGGGTGAGAGAGCTGGGGAATGGGGGTCAGACTTGGGAGGAGATGGGAGGATGGCATCAGACTGGAAAGTGCTGCTTTGTTAAGGGGTTTCAGTAGTTTCTGGGACAGGGACTGGCCTGGAAATGACCTTGTCCTTCCTCCCTCCCCACAGTGTGTTCCAGCTTACCCATGATGTATATAAGCCCTTCATCTTTGCTGCAGATACCCTGGCTGACTTGAGCATGTGAGGGGTTGATTCCTATTCCTTTCCCTCCTGTCTCCATCCCCATCCCCATCCCCATCCCCATCCCCATCCCCACCCCCATCCACATCCCAATTTCCATCCCCATCCCCATCCCATTCCCATCTCCATCCCCATCCCTATCTCCATCCCTATCTCCATTCCATCCCCATCCCCATCCCCATTCCATCCCCATCCCTATCTCCATTCCCATCCCTATTTTTTGCCCCATCCGTGTTCCCATTCCCCTCTTTTTCCCAACCCTTCCCTTCTCTACTCCACTTAGTGAGGGAAACTCTTCTCTCTCTCTCCCTCTCAGCCTCTGACTAGATTGAGGTCAAAGGTACATGCCCACCCTTCCCACCTGCCAAGCCCTCCCCTTTGCCCATGACCACTCATTCCTTTCCCTTTTTTGACAGGTGGGTGCGCCAGCTGGTGACTTGCATTTCCAAGTACAAGTCTCTGAGCCGAACTCCTACGCCCAAAGAGGAAGGTGAAGGTGGTCCCTGGGACATGGACCCTTTTCTTTCCCAGAGATCCTCCCCTGCGTACTACCCAGATCAGGGGTGGGGTACCACTTTCCAGGGAGAAATTCACCCCTCCCTCCCTTTCCCTATGATCTGCTAGGACATGAGAAAGGGCAGCCCAGAGTCCTCAGCCTCATTCCCTGGCCCAGACGCCCCTGCCCCCTGAGCCTCAGACTGTCCCTTCCTATCCCCCGCAGAGTGTTATAGTGAGACAGAAGCAGAAGACCCCGATGAGGAAGCAGGGTCCCGCTCAGCCTCAGTGAGTGCCCAGGGGGTTGAGAGGGAAGGGATGAGGATTTGTAGTGGGGAGGGGTATTCTGGAAGAAGCCTGGGTTAACACTGTTCCTGTCTCTCAGCCCAGCCCAGTAGGAGTCTGGAGCTCTCCCCCTGGAGATGCCTCCCCCTCAGCCACAACCCCCCAAGGCAGCCCCTCAGTGTCACATAGCCCTTCATCAGGTATTCACTGTAGATGGGGAGAGAATGGGCAGTGCACAGAAGCTGGGGACATGTGGGTGCTTGGGAGCAAAAGAGGGAGAAGGATGTGGGGACCTTCAAGAGGGGCAAAAGAGGGATACTTTGGAGAGGGGCATGACCCTGGGGTCTTGTCTGTGCCATGCGTCTCCCCAGCCTCAGACAGCAGCAGTGAGGGAGCTCTGGAGCACCTGGTCCGGGGCCTCCAGCGGGGGGGTGTGTCCTTTCTGGGGCGCCCACAGTTCTTGACCCAGGAGCAATGTCGCCGCTCTTTCCTGCGCCGTGCCCATGACCCCCAACTCAATGAGCGGGCCCATCACGTGCGATGCCTGCAGAGCACGCTCAAGGTGAGCCCTGGCCACAGCCATAGTCTTGGGAAGGAGGAGGAGAGACTGGGCAGGGTGACTGGTGGGGCTTGGGGAGACGCTCAGCATCTGTGCCCCCATCCCCCTGGTCCCCAGGCGAAGCTTCAGGAGCTACAGGTCCTGGATGAGGTACTGAATGACCCCATGCTGACTTCTGAGAAGTTCAGGAGGTGGAAAGAGAAAAACCAGGAATTATATTCAGACAGGCCTGGAGGCTGGGCTGGGACAGTGGCTGAAGGGACTTCAGCTTCCCTTCCTGACCCTGGAACCTGAGGACCATACTTCCTTTGACCCCAAAGAGCACTTGCCTCGTGACATCCAATGCCCAAGGCCACCTGACCTTTGACTCTGGGGGAAGGGAGGACATTTGCCTTCTAATCTCTGACCCAGGGAGTTCCCAACCCTGGGTAGGTGGAGGTATCTATCTACCACCTGACCTCTGATCTTATGCTCACCCCACCCTGGCTTTGTCCAGGATAGGCTGGTCGAGGTCCCCTCTGGGGTCTGAGTAGGGCTGAGAACCCCCTCCCTATGCCTCCACCCTCAATTTCCTGACCCCCAGGCTGTTGGGGTGACAAGTGACAAGTCTCAATTTCCTGCTTCACAGACCTCAGCTCAGACCCCTTCTCCTTTTCTCCCTCTCTTGGTTCCCCCAAATTGTCCAATCTGTTTGCCTGCAACTCAAAGCCCACGACATGCTGCCTTCTCTCTGGCCAGAACTGTCTGAGGATGGGGAGAACAGAACCCAGCATCGTTTTAGATCTTATCAATTCCCTCAAAGAGGGAAAATGAGAGAGCAGAGAGATGAAAACATGCATTTGGAAGGTGAATCCAGAAGTGGGGGGCAGGGGAGGGGGAGAAGTCAAGGGACGTGATCCCCTATTCTGGTCATGCAGACTGCTCAATCCCTACCTCTCCCCCTACCCCATGCTGCACACTCAGTACAGGTGTACCTCATTTTATAGAATGGCTGCATTAAAGCAAATTTACTCCAGTGTCCCTCTGACTGGTGGTCTACAACCAGAGGTAAGCTCTCAGAGGAAGCAGGGCCCCAATATCTCAAGATCACATAATCTCAAGTTTGGAGAAGAGACCTCAGGGGCCATAGTGTGTCCTAATGGGACACTCTTCCTGAAAAGGAGTCAACCAGCTTTTTGTCTAAGGTTTCTAGGGAGGGGTAGCCCACCACTTCCAGAGAACAACTTAGACCACTTTTGGATTACTGGTTGTTAGGAAGTTTTCCTTAGGTGAAATCTACATGGTATGGTAGATAGAGTGCTGGACTTGGAAATAGAAAGATCTGGGTTCAAATCCTGCCTCAGTTACTAGTAGTCATGTGATCCTGGAGATGGGGTTGGGGTTAGGGGTAAAATATCCCTGAAAGTTCATGTTCTCTTTTGGTTCATTATGTCCCACTGCCCTTGAGTTTTCTCTAGTTATAGCTCATGTCTTAGGTTTCCACAGATGTTCGGAAAGAGAAGGAGGCATAGTCTCTGATTCTTATACAAGCACTCATATTAACACATACATATCAGGTATAGGATAGCCTCCACAGAAAATGTAGATGATTCAAAGGGGTCCATAAACAGATAAAATAAACATATAAGGCATGCAAAGAACTCTGGACTCGTAAAAATATAGAGAGAGCACATGAAGTATTTGAAGTTGTTTCCCTTCGAAAGAATGAAACTCGGGATTGCCAGGGGGGCAATACTCTAACATTTTGCTGACTCAGTAGCTGTGCTACAGAATTCTATATAGTCCCTCCCAGACTTGTAGTACCTCCTATAATTTCAACCCCAAAAGGAAGCCACACTGCTTGATGAACGTCCCCCTCAACATCAAAGGTGCATTGTCTAAATAGTAGTGAAAAGTGGCAAGTTCCTCTTTTGTCCCCCCACGTTGAGAACTTAGTCTAACTTCAGGAGTTATGTAGGTAATCCTCTTTTTCCACCAATAAACACACTGCCCAGGAACCATTGAACTTGGGGTTATTCCTGAAGCAACTCTTAAGGATAGTGCTGCCCAAGAAATCTCTCTTCTCTGGCTGGAAGACTGACAACATGCTCTCTAGGTGGTCAAAGTCCCTCCCTCTTGCCCCCTCAGAAGGTTGGGGCTCAGGAACATTGTTCACAAGTGCCCTCAGGCCCCATGGACTGGAACGCATCTACCTCTGACATGGACTCCTGCAGGAACTCTTGGTGTTCCAATGCTATTCCAGCTGTTGCTAATTCTTTGGCTGGTTCATTCTCAGTTCTCCAGTTCTGACCTGTGCTTAGAAAGAGAGACTGTGGCTAGGAACTTGAGGTCCAACAATTCCCTTCTCAGGCCACCTGGGCAAAACACATACAATTTGCCATATGCTTCTGCTGCAAATCTCCATCGCCTGTTCTTTGGTCAGGGAGCAGAAGGCAACTCTTCTTCCCCCAACCCCACCATACTCCTAGAAAAAAGGGTACCAGGGGAATAGGTCAAAATGGCGTCCGAAAGAGATGAGCAGATTTGTTGGCTCACTTGTATAGATGTTAACAGATGTGTGGCATCTCCAACGTGATCCCGTCATCCTGAGACTCAGCAGATCAAATCCATCTTGTGACAGTCCCATTCCCAAAACCCATCCCCTAGGAGGAGCCAACCTAGCCAGTTCATCTTAGTGAAGCCCTGGTCACTGAGAACTAATGGGTAGCCTGTTGTCATCTTGCCAAGGGTATGTCCATAACCTGGGGTCCGTGAATTTGTTTTTCTAACATTTTGATAACTACACTTCAATGTAATTCATCTGCCTACTAATGCGATGTATTTTATTGTATGCATTTTTAAAAATATTATTTTTATTTTCAGTTTCAAATTCCCTCCGGCACGTCCCCCACCCATTGAGAAGGCAGGAAATGTGATACCCATTATATGCCCTTATACATGGAAAGTCATGCAAAACATTTCCGCATTAGCTATTATTGTATACATTTTAGAACAGTCTTCTGAGAAGGGGTCCTTAGGTTTCACCAGACTGCCTCAGGAGTCTGTGATCCCCCTCTCCATAAATGTTTAAGACCTCTGCTTTACAAGGAGAAAGGTAAGGTCATCAGATTGATCAAGGGAACTACCCTGAAGTAACCATGAAATTGATTCTCTGTGCCTCTACTGAAGTCTCTGGAGCTTGCTCTGCTCTTCCTCAGTGGTATTGTTTCTGTATGTCTTTAGAATTTTATTCTTACACCTTCTCACCCCTCTTGGGCTATGAGACCCTACCCATCTTATCTCTGAACCTGAAATTGACTCTCAAAAAAAAAATATCTACAGTGCATATCAGACTTGGCCTGGCTTTCCCCCTCCGTTATCAGGAATGCCATGAGGAAGTGACCACCTCCTGTTGAGTTCCCCATCATTTCTAATTTAGCAACTAATCCTTTTCTGCCACTCAGACTCTGAGTCCCCTTGTCACTTCTGCTTTTTAGAAGAATGAAATTATCATTAAAGCCAGCCAAGAATGTATTGGCTTCACAAAAAAGCAAACAGATCATTTTAGTTACATGAAATTGTCAAGGTATATAAGATATATAGGGAATTAACACAAATATAAAAAAACTGAGCTGATCTCCAGTGGACATATACATAATCAAAAGAGATGAATGAATGGCCTCAAAAGAATCATAAATTATTAACAATTATTGATTTAAATCACTCAAAATTAAAAATGCAGATCAGAACAGAGATAACAGAGTGTGGAAATAGTTGATGTTTAAGTTATGCCTGGAAGATGGGCACGCTAATGCACTCTTGGCCGGGTTGTGCCTTTGTTCGATTGTTCTAGAAAGCAAGTTGGAATTATATATTTTTAAAAATGATGAAAATGTCCCTACCATTTGATACAGAGAGCCCACTGCTACATGTATATCCCAGTGAAGTCAAGAATAAGAAGAAAAGTCCTATATAGGTCAAAATGTTCTTTACAGCACTTTTTGTGATAGCAAAGAATTGGAAATGAAGTAATGACCGTTATTTGGGGGAATAGCTACACAAATGGTGGCACGTGAACGTAAAGGAGTATGATTGCACTGTAAAAAATGAGGAAAAAGAATTCAGAAAAGCATGGAAAGGAAGACTATGGACTGATGTAGACTGAAGTAAGCAGAACCAATATATACAGTGGTTAGAATAGTGTAAATGGGGAAAAAACCCAATAAGAGGAAGCTGAATGCTATGTAATTTTAAGATGGGCAACTGGGTGGCACAGTGGATGACGTGTTGGACTTGGTGTCAGAAGACCTCATTTCAAAGCCTGCCTCAGACACCTACTAGCTGTTTGACCCTGGCCAAGTCACATAACCATTCATAGCCTCAGTTTCTTCATCTGTAAAATGGGGATGATTTACCTCACAGGATTATTATAAGGCTCAATTGAGAGATAATATATGTCAAATGCTTTGCAAGTCTAAAGTGCTATATGAATGCTAGCTACATAATGACTAAGTTTGGGCCTGGAGAAGAGTTGAAAAAATGAACCTCATTCCTTTTGTTGCTGAAATAGGAAGACTAGGAGTGTTTAATATTGCATGTACCATCAGAAAGAGCTGGTTTGGGTTGTTGATTTTACCAAGGTTTGGGGTTTTTTTTCTTCTTTATTTTTTAAACTTTGTGATAGGGCATGACTTGTTGGGTAAAGATGGGGGGAGGGATATATTCAGAAATGAATGTGATAACTTTTGTTGTAGCAAAGGATTAGAAAGGGGGTACCTATCAATGGGGTGATGTCTAAACCAATAATGTTATATGAATATAATGGAATAGCATTGCACTGTAAATGACAAATAAGATGGTTTCAGAGAATCCTGTATAAATTTGAAGTCATGTGTGAACTGATGCAGAATTAAGTGAGCAGAATCAGGAAAGGACTTTGTAAAGAAAAACAGATTCAAAAGTCTTAAGAATTTAAGAAAAAAGAACAAATGTCATATAATGAAAAACATACATTTTTTAACTTATTTAGTATTTTATTTTTCCCCAGTTACATGTAAAAATAATTTTTAACATTCATTCTTAAAACTTTGAGTTCCTAATTCTCTCCCTTCCTCCCTCCCCAACCCCCACCCCTCACTGAGAAGGTAAGCAATTACACATAGGTTATACATGTATAGTCATACAAAACATTTCTTTATTAGTCCAGTTGTGAAAGAAAACATAGACCCCCCTCCAAAAAAACCTCAAGAAAAATAAAGTTAAAGAAGTATGCTTCAAAGATATACAGGCAATGGGGTATAGAAATCTATCCTGCCCTATAGGAAAATAGAAGGGGAAGGGGATAAGAGAAAGGGGGGGGGGGAGATAGAAGGGAGGGCAGATAAAGTATGCTTCAATCTGTATTCAGACACCATCAGTTAAAAGACATAAATTTTTAAAAATTAAAATAATTTATCATCTACTCTGCTTTTGGCTAAAGGAGACCTCTGAAATATTTCCAAATAACTGAAGGTCCCCATTACTACTGTATTATATCCCTATGCCAAGTTAGTGAATAATTTCCTTCCTCTTCTAGTCCAGGGAGTCTTTAATATATCTCCCAAAACATCATTTTTGCTTTTCTCTCCATTGATCTTTATCCAAATACTTTTTTTTGTCCTTAGGTGATTGTATTTCCCTATATGACAATATCTTATTCACATAAAATTCTACTAAAACTCTCTTTTATCTATATAGTTTCTTTTGAAAAAGGTGTATTTTTAATAGGTATATTGTAGTCATAAATCCCAACTCCTGCCAGCATACTAGGGGACTTCAACATATCTGTTGACTCCCTCAGATACCCTAACCACTCAATTCCTCAATACTCACCTCACCTCCCCTGAGCTATTCCTCCACCCACTTTAGCCACACAAAATGATGGTCATACCCTTGCTCTGGCCATCACCCATAAATGTACCACTTCTGTGTTCAAGAATTCCAAAGTCCCCTTATCTGACTGTAACCTATTGGCTTCCTACCTCTCCCTCTGCCTTCCCTTCCAAAATTCTACTCTTTATCCACACCATGACCTCCAATATCTTGATCCCTCCGTTCTTCCCCAGGCCGTCTGTCCTGTACTAGCCATTCTCTCCTCTTTTCCTCATCCTGCTCCCTTGGTGAACTGATTCAACTTTATACTGTCCTGATCTCTTGATCTTACCTCCTTATCGTTTTGCTGATTTTGCCTTGCCAAACCTCAGCCTTGGATCATTTCTACCACCTGCTCTTCTTTTCAATGTATGTGATGCTAATCATACTAGTGTTCTAACAGGGTCCTCTGTGAGTTTATGTTATGTAACCTCAATGGGGCCCTCACTGCTACTAGGCAGTCCTACCATACCTCCCTTACCAACTCACTATTCCACTTGGCACAACACTTTTAAACCTTTTCATCCCTCCTCAAACCTCTCATGGCTCACCCTGCCCCTACCCTCTGCAAGCCCTCTTCTCCCCTTTTCCTTTATCTCATTTTATTCCAGTGCTTCTGTCCCTCTCTCCTCTTTCCTGTCTCATATGATGAGGTGGCCTTATTCCTTTCCAAGGCTAATACCATTACCTGCTCAGTGATCCCATTCCACCCTGTAGCCTCCATCCAACAGATTGCTCTCTCTGTCATCCCAGCCTTTCTCTTACTTTCAATCTTTCCCTGTATGTACTGGCTCCTTGCCTACAAACATACCCATGTCTCCCCCATCCTCAAAAAAACCCCAAAAAACCTCTCACTTGATTCTTCCGTCCCCATTAACAATCCATTCTCCTTCTGCAGCTCTGCCTGGTTTCAACTCCATGGAACAAGATGCCGCATCTGTTACCCCTTGGTGTCCACTTCACCCCACCCTTCCATCTTCCTTCTGTGTAACTTTCCCATTAGATTGTAAGCTTCTTGAGGGCAGATACCGTCTTTCTTTTTCTTATTTGTATTCCCAATGCTTAGCACAGGACCTGGCACATAGGTAGGTGCTTAATAAATATTGATTGAATTGATTTCCTAAATTTCTTTTTCCCTTTGTGGTTGACCCCCTTGAAAAAGCCATCTACAACAGTTGCCTCTGTTGTCTCTCTTCTCATTGTCTTCTTAACTCCTTATAATCCAGCTTCCAACTTCATCATTCCACTGTAACTGCTCTCTCCAAAGTAACCAGTGATCTCTTAATTACCAAATCCAATGACCTTTTCTCCATCCTCATTCTCCTCCACCTCTCTGCAGCCTTTAACACTGTTGTTCATCCTTTGCTCTTTGATACTCTCCTGTCTAGGTTTTCAGGACACCACTATTTCCTGATTCTCCTCTTACCTATCTGACCGCTCCTTCTCAATCTCTTTTGTTGGTTCCTCATCCATATCACATCCTCTAACCATGGGGGCCCCACAGGGCTCTGTCCTGGAACCCCTTCTCTTTTACCTCTGTATGACTTCACTTGGTGATCTCATCAGCTCCCATGGATTTAGTTACCATATCTATGCTAATGATTCTCAAATGTATGTATCCTGCCCCAATCTCTCTGCTGACTTCTAATCTCCCATCTCCAACTGCCTTTCAAACAGCAGACATGTTAAACTCAACATGCCCAAGATGGAACTCATTATCTTTCCCTCCAAACACTCCCCACTTCCTACTTTGCCTATTACTGTTGAGGGTAACACCATCCTTTCAGTCCCCTAGGCTCACAACCTGGATGTCATCCTAGGCTCCTCACTATCTCTCACCCCCCATATTGCCACATTGCCAAGGCCTGTTGATTTCACCTTCGCAGCATCTTTTGAACACACCCCCTTCTCTCCTCTGACATGACCATCACTCTGGTGCAGACCCTCACATCTGGATTATTGCAAT